TTTTTTTTTTTTTTTTTTTTTTTTTTTTTTTTAGATTTATAATGGCCGCTGATAAACGCGCTACTTTATTCCCTCTGATCGGAATCGCGGTTAGAATGTTTTAGCGACGGTACAACACGCGAAGGTTGCACTTTAATAATTAAACAAATTGTCTACAGAATTTATTAGCCGGCTCCACGTTAATGAATAAACGCACAATGAATTAACGCCCCCTAATTTAGTAATTACACGGATCGATCCTTAATTCGCAATAATTGTATGTCCCGATAGTGAACGATGACAGTACTTCCTGCATTTAATTTGCAATTGAAGCTTTCTGCATGGGGGAAAGAGAAGAGAGTTGCAAGGTCCGTTAAAGCCCTTCTCTACGGTACTCAGAACGTTCCACAATTATGCGGAAGCGATAAATCGCCAATCCAAAATGACGGCGAAGAACTGATAAAGACACTATTTTATCCTCGTGTACAATTTACGATTAAACTAGTCGATGATAGACTAGGCGAAAATTGTGACTTGTGATCAAACCGCGAGCACAAAGCACGCAAGCACGCATTGTCACGTGATTGTTGGTCACCGAGTCCACGAATCATGTTATCTGTAACAGAAATCTGGCGCTGATTTCTCTGCTTATATTACACAAACAATCTTTTTAAATATGTACTGTTTAGTAAAAAATTACTCATGTAAAGTTGCCACGTTAAAATCAACAAGCTACGTGTATAATTTCTTTCGATTATAGGAGAATGCTGTTTTTTTCCAATCGCAATATTAAACAATCGTGCGACGAAAGATTTGCATTGATGACATGAATCGTTGAATCATGCAATAAAAATTTATGTGGCATCAGACACAAGAAATTAGTGCATCATTGTGTGATTGAAGTGATTTTTAACAAGAAATTGTTTAATACCAAGTGAATTTGAAATATGTGAAGAGAATGCTTCTAATAATTGTTTATGTCAATATAATAGCTCACTACATCTAAAATTTCTATAAACCAAAGCGTGTGATTTGTTGGGGTGTTAGTGTGCGAATCTGTCCTACTCGACTCTACGACTAGAGGGTGAGGGTACGACACCCTCGCGGAGAAAACCCCTTTTTCATTGCACATTCATCGCGGTTATCCTATAGTCGCGTCGCAAATTGCTGCCTGAACGGATTAACAGAAGAAAAGAAGCTTGAATAGCTTCTGTTAATTGGCCATTTAAATTTTACATTTCGGAAGACAGTAATGATCGGTTTATCGGGGCACCGATGTTGTCGCGGCATTTTAATTATCGTCTTAGTTTCCCATTCCTCTTCTTCCGACAATATCGAACAAAAGAGTTTTGTAATTTCTCGCGGGAAAATTGCAGAGTACACGATGATGCCCTGGAAGACGAAAAACTCGTCCGTAACACCCATCTATTGTCCGCGACTAATAATTTGTAATTAATAATGGCAGCTAACACAGATATCATCGGAACCCATCATTTTTTAAATACGATGTCTCGCAAGTAGAAGGAATGTATAATTCTAACATTTTTTAATCCTTCATGATAACGTCACATGTTTTAACTATTGTTTATCAAACATTGTTTTTTTTTTCTTTAATTATATATTATTAACTATATATTAATTTAATTATATATATATATTATTAACTTCTTTTATTTCTTATCTTTTCTATTATTACTATTAATTTTTTATAAAAAAAGAAATAATTTTCGCTTCATGTATATTTCACGTTTGGACAATAAAGGTTCCAAATGTGAATTTCGGCAAATGTAAAAATAACGAAGATACCAAAGATGTTCGGTCGTGAAAGAAAGAAACGAAAGAAGATACGAAGAAGGAGGAGAAGGAGGAGAAGGAGGAGAAAGAGGAAAAGAAGATGGTGGAAGAAGAAGAAGAAATAGCCTAACGCCGATCGAAGAGAGGGAGCCCCACCTCTTGCGAGAGCAATGCCGTGCCGGGACAGGCCCGTCGAATGTTAAGGAGACGCGGGGAGCGAGTATAAACCTCGTCTAACCGTACCTCACCTCCACTCTCGGAGGCCGCTGTGCGGCCGGCGATCCCGTGTATGATTTCCAGCCAGTCTGCCATTGGTCGGCGGGTTCCTGCGCGGTTACCGCCTTCGCCATTAAACAAAACGCGCTGCCCGAAGAGGGATCAAATTAAAAATCGAAGGGGTTCGGGCCCTTTGCAGCGTGTTTTCGGCCTTGCCGCGACATTGTTGCGATTCGTATGCTCCTTTTGCGAGCATCTGCTTGTTTGGCCGCGGCCCACCAATCCGAATCGCACCTGCAATTGTTCCCCACACACACGTGGCCGCGAGGAAGATATCTTCGGAATTCCATTGCGGAAATAACAAACATCAATAAGCAAACATCAGAGCATAATTTGATTTTAATAACACGATTTGAATAATTTAAGATTATATTATCGATGGTTTTAATCTTCTAAAATTAAGAAATTACATTGGATATAACTTCATTTTCATACAAATATGCTACATTTATATTTCTTCAATTTTATAATTCTGTATGTCATTGTCAATTTGTACATTTATTACAATATGATAACTTTTAAAATAACTATCCATATAACAGCTTGTATCTTCTCAGCTAGTTTGAAATGTACGGGGTGTTTACGGTACGTCGCATACACCATCGCGATTGAAAGTGCAGGTTGAGTCGGTCGTGACCAACGCATTCGGAGCATAACGCGATTATAACCGCATACATCATACCGCATACAACGCATCTTGAAAAATTCATATTGGCATTCAAAGAACACAACTCCATTCATATTTTACTTACAATTAGTAATTTAAATATGTTTCGTTCAACCTGAAATCACTTGCTTCTCTACTTACCAACAATTGTGATATGATTTTTATAACTGATCGTATAATTTCCTTGTTTAATTTTTTAACATTTTTTTAATTTCTACTTTTTCTAATGAGGACAGTTCGATGTTGATTTTTTGACAAATACGAACGGATCTAAATATTGAATTCTCAAGGATGAGAGATAGAGATAGAACCAGTATTATCAGACTGAGAAAAGAATGCCGATATCTTGGGTTAAATCGTGGGGTTAAGTCTCCTCCGCTCTCTCCTCTTCTTTCTTCGCGTACGATGCACCGGGTCCAGGGAACAGGAGGTGGCGGAGGAAGAGGGCCCAGCATTGTTCGCGGACAATGTAAGCATGTCCGGAACAAAGAGCGGTAATCGACCCGTGTAACATTTATAACGTAATGGGAGGGCCTCTCTGGCCCATAATAATATCAATTACTGGGCTCTCGGAGGAGCGAGGGAGACACTATGAGGATGGAGAACACGTAGGAACGAGAGCCGGCGAGGTTGGCGAGTGCGAGTGGAGGGCCTTAGATCGAGGGGAGCGGATCGGCGGGACGCGGATTCGCGGATCTGTCGGGCAGAAAATTGACGACGAGGCCCTCTCTGCCTCCTCGGCCGACCAGCTGTCTTCGAGATCGTAAGAGGACGCCGTGACGCACTCGTTAGGCCTCGTAATCGGAGAGTAACAAGATTCGCGTGTGAAGCACAACTTCGTGATTCCTGATTGCCCCAGTGGTATCCTCATAATACGCTATGGCTACCTAGATTTTTTCGATAATGATCTTGTATACGATGCTCCCTTAACGCGTGTTTATCCGATCTTACACTTCATGGAATTTGATAGTATATATTTCATGTTACTGTTGTATACCTTGTATATATATCTGTCATTATTATTATTTAAAGTCATTTTTCAAAGATGTTAATGGATTTTATCCAATTTTGTGCGATCTTTTTTAATGTGCACACGACTTTGATAAATTACTATCTTCAAAAAGAGATTATATTAAAGAGCTCTACATATTAATTAAGGCAAAAATTTACGGTATCGGCGTCGGACTCGGCGTCGATATTTTTTCATGTATTCCCGCGAAGGTTCAGAAATTATGTGCGGAAATTAGAATATACTACGATACTACGAAGATCACGAGATGATGATCCGCCGC